TACACTCTGACATCTACATGTGTATAAACACTGATATCCTCTACATGTATGAATTATTTTCATATAAACAAGACTCTATTCAACTTGGCCATTTCCTGGGGGACATGACTGGAATCTTCTTTTTAATTCATTTATTCATATGTGCACACATCGTTTGGACCATCTCTCCCCCCGCCCCTCCTTCTTTTATATTTAATTCTAATATTATATGGCACAAACCAAGTGTATTTATCAAAATTAAGAGTCCTTTATTTCTCTCTCAATGAGCACAGTTTCTTAAATTTTAAAATTTTCGTTTTTCTTAAATTCCTGATAGTTCAAGACAAACCACTTGGACTCTGCTTATCTTCTACACATTAAACAATCAAATATTTATTGAGTATCTCTAGTAAGCTGTGATACAGACAAGAAGAAATACAAGATCTAGTCTCTATCCTTAGAAGTAAATCACTTCTCACTAAAAAATACTAGATTGTTCCTCAACTTGAAACTGTCCCAGAGATTAAAGCTGACCCTGTGAGACCTGCAGAAAGGGGAAATGTTGGACAAGGACACTGTTAATACTCCCCATGGGAATATAATGCTACAATTCTAGGAGGAGTTTTAAGATAGTGAGTAGAAAGGTTTCATGACAAATTTCTTTGTGAAGTGGTTTTCTACTATTATTAAATGCAAAGTCACATGTTGCCATCTTGACATTTTTTATTTTGAATGACAAGCAGTTTAAAAAGTGTGTGCTATTTTTCATGGAAGGCACTGAACATACACAATAGCACACAAAAAATAGGAAGCTATTTTTAGTATAAACCAAATACACATTACCATGAAAAGAAAGTAATTCAGGTCAGGTTTGAAGTCAAGAAAGGAAATTACATGAGATTTGAGAAAGGACATAAATTAGCCTATAATGCTAAATAAGAGACAGCATTGTAAAATGTTAGGCAACTGTTAACCTTTACCGTAAGGTTGTGTCTAAGCCTCTGCAAGGATGACTATCATTTGAAGAGGTCCTCCTGGTGAGGACATTTATTACAAAGAATGTGCTTTAGAAGAGATACAACCTTACTTCTCAGTCTGTCTCAGAGAAATGTCCAAAAAAGTCTGTGTCAACAGAGTACTTTCATACCCTGTGTGGAGATGGAAAATCATATTTCTTTTCATTTATGGTTGATTCACATGAAAGACTCATTTCTGTATCCTCATATTTAGTCAAGAGGTTGGAGTTGAAAATAGAAGAGCAAACACAGACCGAACAAAGTTCTTACTCAAAGTTCTTATTCTGACTAGGAATACCTCTAAATTTTTGAAAGTAACAATTTTAAAGGGAGAATGAAGGCCGAGTTCTATGCAGATAAAATAATTTACTTCTAATCAAAGAAAAAGGAGAATGGGAAATTCACCTGAAATACACTATAGTTAAAGCTAGGCAAATAGTTAAAAAATAAACTAAAGATTAAAATTATAACTTAGAATGCAAAATCTCCTAAAGAAATTAACCGACACCAATTTGATGTATATTTTTTTCAGATTTTTTTCCACATACATTACGCAAATACGTTTACAAAACTAATTACTTCTGCTCTGTTATAAAAAGTGGAATAATACATGTCCAACTTAATTTTTCATTTAATTTATATTGCATTTATGAGTGCTGGTGTATGAAACTTTATCTTGTTCCTTGTAATGGCTGCATAGCATTTTATTATATGGTTATAACATATAATTATTTAAATTCTTTCCTATTGATGAATATCTGGATTATTCCCAATGTTTCACTATTTCAAACAGTGCTGAAACTAAAACTGCTATAAAATCTGTTAGTATTATTATAAATTCCTAGGATGAGAATCAGTAAAACAGGAGGTATGAGATTCTGCTAAAGAAGCAACAAATTTTTATATGTGATTTTTTTTTTTTCCCCTTACTGAAGATTGAATCCAGGGCCTTGGGCTTGCTGGGCAAGTGCTCTACCACTTCAGCCATGTCCCCAGCTGTTGTCATATGTAACTTCAAAGGAAATAGGGGGTAATCATTTTTCAGAACACGCTTCATATTCACATGTAAAATTAAAGGAATGAAAAGAAAAGCAATTCAACAATAAACAGAAAGAAAGAAAACAAGAAAGTATGATAAATACAAAATGTAAAATAAAATGTAAGAATAAGTCAAAATATAAAAGAAATGACATATAAAATGCCAATTTCTATTAAAAGATAAGTGTACAATGGTAAATTTTATAAGTTTCTTATAATTTTATAGATGTTTGAAATTTAAAAGAGTTGAAAAGCAATGACACAAAGAATACATAATAAAAGTGATGAAATGATAATGATGAAAGCAAAGTTTTAAAATACATAAAGCAAAACAGATAAAAATGTAAGTAGAAATTGATACATCTACAAGAATAAGGAGAAATTGTGAAGAATTTCACCAGCAATCAAGAATCAAGTGAACAGAAATATAAAGATACTGACAATCCAATTATATAGTTAGCAAACTATGTACACATATCCACAATTCACATACACATGTTTGCACTCAACAAACAAAATGTATATTTCTTTTCAAACATTTGTTATTCTATATGCTTAGATGTCATTTGGCTCTTTTACAGTTAGGACACATTGACATGATACTTGTAATATGCTTCATTAGGCTGTCATAGGGTTTTCAAAACATATTATTTCATCTCATTTTCAGATAAAGCAGTAAGGCTAAGCAAGCAAGCAAGCCTAGAGAGGCTTAGTCATTCAGCCAATGTTATAGAGTTAGTAAGTCCAAGACAAGACTTAGACTCAGTTCTGTTGAATTCCAGAGCCTCATCAACTTTCCCTAGACTATAGTGTGCCTTTTTTTTTGTTTTTTGGCTGCACTGGGGGTTGGTCTCAGAACCTCATGCTAGTTTGGCAGGTGTGCTATTAGTTATGCAACTATGTGTAAAACATTGGTTATTGTGAGATAGGGTCTAGGGAACTTTTTGCCTGGACATCAAACCACAATCTTCCTGATTTCTCCCTCCCAAGTAGCTAGATTACAGGCTTGGGCAACCATATCTGGCCTACTTCCTCACAAAATTCTTGATTAAGATGATTCTGGATCACCAGAGCTTTACTTTCAATTTCTTTTTAAAACTTAGGATATTAAAAATTGTTAATTTTAGTAGAAAATCAGTGCAGAATTTTAGTCTTGAAAAGACTAAATTTTTATTTGAGTGTGTCTCCTGACACCCAGTTTTACTGAGAATCATTCTTCTCTTAGTGGCTTACCCATTTCATGTATAGGTATTTTTACAAGTATTGTGCTTAGTGCTTTACATGGCATAGCTGGTGAAGGTCCTTAGAGTTTGATTTTATCAGAGAACAGAGTTACTTCACTAAGATGGGAGTTAAATGAACATGTGAATTCTTTCTGGTATTTATTTCTTCATAGCACCAGATGCTGCTTCCATAGCTTAGGAGAAAGGGGCACTTTCCCAAATACACACCAGAAACCTGGAGCATTGCTTCATATTGAAAAGCCAAGTTTGCTACAGAACTGCTTAAATAATTCTCTTTATGCAAATGCAAAGTACTTACCCAATTCGTATCTTCAGCATGCCACTGAATAACTCAGGATTATTGGAGATGATCCAGCCAATATGAATGACCAGTTCTTGCTGAATGACTGCTTCCCTCTCATCATGGATATTACACTTATAATAGATGATGTTCTTAATCACTCTTGGAGACAAAGGATTAGAGATAACCTCTTCTTCATGCCCAAAGGCACCCAGAGTTACCTACAAGTATCAGAATCTTATTGTAAAAAAATTCCTAGCTACTAAAAGATAAAAGAAAAAATTCAACACTGAAGATGACTGGCAGGTTAAAATTGCTCTACACAGCTAGGGCATTAGGTAGAATAACTGTTCTTGCTTTTTATTAAAATGGATTTCAAAGCATAACTCCCATTGGAGCTCAGGACGGTTGACAGTCTAAAATATAAGGCAGGTAAGGGTCTCAGGAGAGTGAAGGTGAGTGGATATAAATAAATATTAAGGCAAAATTTTTCAGAATGACTTTAGTAGTAGCAACTCTCCAGAGAAATCAAAATACATTGAATAGTTTTATTTTGCTGCACAGTCTATACAATTTAATATTTGAGAGACAGAGTTTCACAGTTTTTCAGGTGGAACCTTTTGCTTTTTAACAACACTACAACCTTTTCAAAGGCAGGTGCAGGATCACAAACTTCTTGTGTAGCTCCCACTTTTCCTGCCTAATCCTAGGCACCTAGGATTTACTGGTTGTAAATCTCTCTCCTGTGGCGGGGGAGTGAATGAGGCTGCCCACAAGCCTGGATAAGGAAAGAGCACAGAGGGAAATGGTAAAGAAAATTTAAAGCAAAAAGTGTTGCTGGAGATACCAAGAAAATGCTGTGGTCTCTCCTTGGGATTTCTTCCCCCATGAGTCTAAAGCCCCTCTTCCTCTTCATCACCTGTTTTTGTCTTCATGTACAGTACACAAGTATAAGAGGCAGGAAAAAGAACAGCACCTCAAAGGGCATTTGTGTTTTTAGAGATGAAGGGTGAGAATGGAACTTGCACCAGTTTTGTAATGGAGTGAAAACTAAGAACTGCTGGTTTTCCACATGACAGTGATATTATCCAGTTAGTACAACTATGATCACTTTTATTAAAATGGCCTGTGCAAAGAAGAAAACAAAGAAAGGATACATTATTGTCTCCAGAAGCAATGATGAGTTAAACCATTAGCTCATGTTGGAGAATTTGAGATGATTCAAAGTCCTTTGTAAAAATACTATTTCAGTTCTTAGGGTAGCATTTCATAAATGAATAAATACAAAAACCCTATTTCATTGTCACTTCTTTTTTTTTTTTTTAAGGGTTAAGATGCAGTTAATGAATAGATTTCATGCATCTGGTCATAATGATGAGCTATGGCCTGCCCCCAGGCTTCCCCAGCTCAGTAAATGACTATTTCCCTGGGACATATGCTGGTCTGATGAGTGATACAGCCACAGCCTAAGGCAGGCTCCGAGGACTGTGAGATGTGGGAGTGCGATCTAAGGCTGTAGGCTGAAAGTTTTCTCTAAATATAGTACAGAATGGATCTGACTAATCTAACATCCCTCCTCTTAGTGTCAGATGCCAATAAGAGCTTCAAAACTTCACGAATGCTCATTTGAGAATTCAAATTTTCAGATATAATATAGGAAGCTAAAATCAAGGAAAACAGTTTCCCAAAGCCTTTAACTTTCTTTCACAGCTAGAATGATCCAGGGTAAAAACATAAGACTCTGTGGCTGAAGAAGATTCTACTGAGGAAAGGCACTGGATAACTGATCTCCTGTATTCTGGTCTGCTTTAGTTGACAAATGGGGATGAAAAGTTTACCTTTTGATAATATGGGGAACACAGAGAAAACAATATATATGAAAAGTAACTTAACTTTTTCTCAGGAGCTTTTTATTAGTACAATTATTTTTAATTGTTACTTAACATTACAGGAAAGAATGGCATATTACTCTAACATTCTAAAAGATGGATATCAGGATGAGATTATTTCAGTCTTAATTAAGAGCCCTGAAACCATGCGCAAATGGTTGATTCTATTAAACAAGGCTAAAGTTTTCCACATTACTAAAGCTTACAATATTCCTTGGTTAACTGTCAGGAAAACACAATAAAGCACATGCATTCTCAAAAAGGAGAAAGAAAGCAAACAGGTTTTCATTCCAACCAAAGAATGATTTAGCCAAGTAATTAGAGATTATAGAAAACAAAACAAAAAATGAGCAGTCACATCCACTCTACATATCCACATGCACAAGCCCAAAGCAACCTACATTTACCAAGCATCTACTCTAAGCTAAGTCCCATGCCGGGCACCCTGTGATGTGTACTGGACAAGACCTCCAGGGGCTCATAGTCTATCACAAAGTGTGACACACACATTCAAATGAACTGGAATCTTGAGCTGATTATGACAAGTGTTATAAGCCTACTATGAGAACCCAGAGGATACTGAGGCCACTGCTAACTGCAGATGATTCGTGAGAAGAAAACACCAGAGTTGGCTCTGGTGGGTGGTGAGGAGGTGGGGGAAGAGATGGCCTAAAAGAAGAAGGATTTGGAAGCAGCACTGACATATAGACTCTGGCTCTGCTTGAACACCAATCCAAAAAGTTTTTAGTGCCAAGTGGAGCTCACATGGAATAGGAGGGAAAATGTGTCCTTTGCTATGCACCTGCCTTTGCTCTATCCTAAACCTGAGTATCATTTAATTTTCTGCAACACATCTGCAATGATCTCAAGTTACAACAGGAGTGAAAATTATAGTTCTTAGATGCAGCAGGAAAAAGGGATGGCCCATTTGATAACTGCAGCTTTGGGACTGTGCATATTTTTTATTGCTTGGGGAAGGAGTCTTTTGAAGAAATTGCCTGAACCATTGTTTATTTGTGTGTGAGAGGTCTATGACACTATAATATGCAAAATTTAAAATTAAGGGTCCTACCCCAAACCTTTGCAACTGTGATCAAATGAATGCCTGAAAAGCATATACTTACCTGTTTGCCCTGCACTAAAACATTAGTAATGGATGGGGCCAGGCTGTCCACTACTTTACTTAAAAGACTTGCTGCACGGCGTACAACCGACCTGGGGGTAAAGAAGAGAGCAGGCCAGATGTTCACAAATCTAAAAGATGATGAATGGGACCCATGATTGGAGAACTTTAAAAATATACATAGTTGGGTTCTTATATAATTATTTGAAGGAAATACTGAGTCCAAGACATTTGACCTAACATCTGAAATTTTCCAGACTGTAAGACCATCCAGAATTTGGTTCTTCATCCTCACCTCTGCCAGCAGGCTGTGCCAAAGGGATGAGTGGTGTAATTATCAATTTTCAAAAGAAAGGAAAGGGATCCTGATTATTCCTCTGATTTGGGATGGGGGAGGGCAGTATGGGAAGGAATTAATAAGGTACTCTGATTTCGTATTAACAAATTATTTAAGTCACACTGGTAAATGTGACATACTCCTATAATCATTTTAAATCATGTTTGTTTTGGAACCTAGACTACCAAATCCCTGGATTAGAGGTTTCGGTGCTAAATTTTAGGGAGTGCTATGATGAAATACCACTACTTTTTTTTCTTGATAAATGCCAGAATGTTGGGGGAAGGAATTCACATTGCTATTTTTACATTCCTAAAAGCCTTAGAATGTAGGGAGGACAGATTTTTTTTTTAAAAAAGTACAGCACATGCAATACATAAGACATTATTTCCTCTCAAAAGTAAAAATTCATTTGGAACATTTAAATGGAGAAAATAAAATAAAAGTGTAGGCTTTAAACTAGCTTTTTTAAATATTCTAGGATATGCGTGGAAACTGGCCTATAAGGCATTTACATTTCTTAATTTCAACATAAATGGACTAGTAAAAACTTACATCAATAACAGATAAAGTTAGGGAACAAATGCTTGCTACATCTAGAGAAGCTTTCACCCACACACTTTAACCCTTTGGAATGCAAATGAGCTCACACATTTCAAGCAGCTTGAGTTTCCAAATTCTATGCATGTTACCTGCTTCCCATGTACCAGAAAAGTAGTAATGTGTGGGGCTATAGAGGAAGAAAATTTCTGGGTAAATGCAGCCCCGTAGCGCACCGCCAACCTGGGTGTGTCAACAGAAAGCCACGAAAGGGAAAATAGAATGAATAAAACCTCCAGGAGTTTGTTCTCTAAACATAATGTAAATCAGTATCTTAAATGTTTGCTAGTTAATGGTTTATCTAAGATACAAGTATAATGCAGAAAGCAAGAACAGGTTTGCTTAGCCAAAAATAAGACTATAGACCATATCTGAAACATACTGCTAAAAAAGCAACATTTACTGGCTTGCATGCCTTGCTGTACTGAGAATTTAAAGTGGAAATTTGAGATATTTAAACTATAAGGTTACTGTATTATTTCTTCCAGGAAGAAATGGTATGTTTACTATAAAAATAGAACTGAAGTATATTAAGAGATTATTTTGTCCAGCTCCCTTATTTTAGAGATTAGAAACGTGAGGCTTATTGAGGTTTAGGGAATTTCTTATGACACTGCTTGAGACTTTAAAAAAATTAGATAATGATCATTATAAAAGTATACAATATACTCTTACATTTAACAGTTGTTAGATTCTGCTAGCAAAACTGAGAATTGCATCAAAATGCAGAGGGTCTTACATTTAGGCATACTTTCCTCATTGTGAATTTCAACAATTTTATACATTTTTTCATCTCTGAGAATAGACTACCTCTGCAGAACAAACTAGTTAATTTTTTTTTACAAAGCAAATGTAATCACTAGTGATGAAAGAACTACCTTTTATTATTTTTTCTCATGATTAAATGAATTACTGGTTTCTTTTCATGGCCTTCTATGAAATCAGAGCAGGTCTTCTAAACACAAAATAAAACCTTAAAACACCTTGGAATAGAGAAGGTACAGAGTAAGAAAGAATCACTAGCATTATCATTCCAGGCTTAATACCAATGGAAGTCTCTATTCTCAGACAGTTTTCTTTAGTGTCTTGGGACAATCATGCTATAATGGAATTTAGACACATCCTTAGAAAGTAGTCAACCATGATGCCATAACCTCAGAGTTTAAAAGTAAGAATGAATAACCATCTTTAGACTGGACTGTTGTCTTTAGACTATTGAATGTCAATAAAAAAACCAAAACATAATGACAAAGACATTAATACAAACCAAAGCTTTTTGCTGCCAGCTCTTCTATAGACTCTCTCAATGTGATCAGAAATGGTACCTAAACATTAGATAATTGAGGAAAACTTTTAAATTAAATGCATAACATTTATTCCCTTTTAAAAATCACTCTTGACTTTTCATTTTGTTCTTGTAGAGTTGATACATTCATTTGTTAATCTTCTGAGCTTTCTGGCATATTCTAACATGCAACCCAAATAAGTAGACTGTGAATGCCCCAGAACTTGTTCCTCTTTTGTCTGAGTATATGACTTTGGTATTTTATTTCCTGAAATTCAGTTTTTGCTTAAATAAAATATAATATATACTTTTAAACAAATACAAATGTTATTTTATCTTACTACAGAAAATAGAACAACAGAATATAGAAAATAATGAATTGAAGAAATAGACTCTGAATATAATGATACTTCATTTATTTGTTTAGTGAAAATTTATTGAGGCTCTGTTATGTAATGAGGCTATGACAATTCTAACATGTACTAGAACCCAAAACATGTTCCTGGGCTTTATTCTTTGGCCACAATTTACATGTAGTCTGGCCTCATAACTGGTTTTCTTAGTAAGTAAACAATTTGACAGGACAGAGCACAAAAAGGAAATAAGGGTAAAGAACAAAATCTTTAACATTTCTCTCAACTTGTTTTTATAGCCTTATAACAAATCACATAAGATTATATTCAGATTCTGTATATTCTTGTGATTTTCAATTTATCATAAGGTTTTACAGATTAAAAACATTTAAAGTCTTTCAAATGTTAAAAGATGAACACTATTCCCAAGTTTATAAAAATGGTTTAAAAATAATTCCCTCAGCATATTCATTTAAACTATTTAAAAAATTTTTTAACTTAAAAACACCACTAAAATATACACTCTGAATTCTAGGTCCCTAATAAAATATTAATTTTCAAAGTCATTCTTTTGGTTTAGCTAAAGTTCAAATGTCAACGATTGACCCTAAAAAAATTAAGATACTGCTTATATGTAGTTTCAAGAATAATTAGAAACATGAAGGATTTTGTTTGAAATTTGCTTAATGATATTCAATGTTATCTTTACTATGATAATACAAAAACTATGTTGACTTCATTTGAACAAATAATTACATTTAGCTCATTACCCAAACTATAAATACTATAAATTACAATAACCCAATCTTCTAACCAAATCAACATGCACTTCTGAACATAGTATTTCTAGATGAGTAGCTAGAAATAAAGTACTTGAAATATATTCTATATTATTCTGTATTATAAAATGCTAGAAGCAGATCATGTTGTACTCAAGGATTCCTTATATAGAGAGGAAACATACAAATGTGGATTTCAGGAATAATTGGGTTTTACCCTTAATGCGGTCTACACATAGACATGATTAGAAGTGATTTATTTTATTAACTATCTTCAGAGCACAATTCTAGTAAATGTCATGTTCCATTCCAAATGGCTGTTGTAGACAATGAAGAAGCTAATTTTTGTAGACAAACTATTCAGTGTTATTCTTGAAAAATTACAAGAAATAAAACTGGAAACAGAAACTATCAATAAACAACTATAGAGTCAACTGCCTAACAGTCACAGGCAGAATTCAGGTTCCAATATGTTCAGATATGAAACAGTCCATTCAACTCTAGGATGTAGATGAACATTTTCCATTTAAAAGGAGAAAAAAAAGGGTCTAGTAGAGGAGGAAATAACTTGTAATATTTTAGTGGGCATTTTTATGCATATCTGATAAATGTCCAAGAATAGAGAGGTCCTATTATTGAAAATATTCTCCTGGACAGGTATTCTTACCTTCCATTGTGATGAAGTTGGGGCCCTCTCTTTTGAGCAGTATACCCAACAGGATGGTTTGGCTGGACAGACAATTGCAGTCCTACAAATATAAATCAGTGGGAGGAACTAGGTGAAACGAATATAAGAGTAACCATAGGGGATAACTAATTACAAAACCATATGATGCAGAACAGAAATATCATTACAGAATTGAGGAAAGATAAAATGTTATCGATGTAACAAGCATATGAGGACATTATACCACTATTTATCTTAGATACATTGGAGATAGCATGTAGAAAAACTGGTTTCCTGGGGTAGTAGGATCTAATAAACAAATTTTCCAGGAAACAAGATAAAAGCAATGAACAGAAATTATGTCTATAAGCATTAAATACTGATAATGCCACACTATGAAACTTGGCAAATCATTAAACCACTCTCTTGACTCTACATATTTGTAAATGGGAGACCATGTTGTTATCAACCTATTGTTAAGAGATGAGTGATAGGTGGAGACATGTATAGAGTACTTATTATATTTCAAGGCACCATGCTATGTGCTTTATGACTCATATCATATTTTTGCTCATGTGGATCTATATAATACGGATGAATAACAAGGACTGATGATGTCTGAAAGGATGTGTACCTACATGCTCAAATCTGTATGGGTCAAAGAAGATGCCATAGTGCTTACTTACAGTTCTACTACTAGGATTTCATTTCTTTGAATAAGTAAAACAACCTACCCACATACCTCTTCTTATAGATGTGAATAGCCTTAAAAAAGATAAAATATAAGGTTGTAAAAATATTCTTATGGATGCAATCAGAGGACTGAATGCCTCAGAAGCAGGAGAGACAAAGCAAGCCTTGGACCTTAACCTTAGGGCAGGAAAGAAGATGGAAATGGAGAAGGAAAAGAAAGGACATGGACATAAAACTCTGGAGAACTGAAAGGCAACTGCCATCGACTTAACATATTTTATGACTTAACTCATGCAAAACTTTCCTACCCAAGACAATCCCATTCACCCGCAGTCTTTAAGACACTCATGCTAATTTTAGACCAAAAGGCAATCTCTCCAACTGCTCTGGGTGTAAACCAGTTAATCAGTATCCTTCTCTGAGAAGACAAAAAGACACATGGCCTGACTGGGAGTTCCTGTCTGGCAACCTCACTTAGGGCTATGCAGGAACTGCATCTTTCTCACATTCAGCTTTTGAAGAATTTCATTGGTGGATTTATTTTTCCATTCAGTAATTCTGATATCTGGTTGTTGTTTTAGTTCAGGAGCATCAGGGGTGCTGCTTTGTCGTTTGACTTTTGAATGTTTGGGAAATTCTAGTTCTTCAAAACTCTTAAATTCTGGAAGCCTGGAAAAAAAAAGTTTCAGATTTCCCACTTTTTAAATGTAATCACAAGATATGCAAAAACTAAATAACTCAAAGGGACTTACTCTTCTGTGTCACTGATTCGTAGAAAGTCAAGTTGTTCTACTACAGCTCCAGATATTAACGTCTGAAATGTAATAGAAAAGATTCAAAACTCTTACATTTATCAAGTCATACTCTAACGGTCCTATGCACACACTTTTTGTAAGACTCTGAAAAAAATTTATTTAAAAATATACAATTCTAGCATAATTCCTTAAATAAACATTCTAAAATCAGATAGGTTTCTGCATACAAAACTGAACAGAGTATCTACAACAATAAACAGAATACATCCATCAAGTAACAAGTTCATGAGTCATAATAAACAGGATAGTCAATGAGTGATGAACTCTCTGGTGTTATAATTAGAGGCATTTACTTATTTACTTACTTATTTATACTTATTTCTTACAGTGCTGGTGATAACATAGGGCCTTGCCCATGTTAGGCAAGCATTCTACCACTAAGCAACATTCCTAGTCCCATAGGCATTTATTTTAATGGAATTAAAATAACCCTCTGCCTATTAAAATAACTGAAATATTCAAATTGTTTTGGAAAATCAAACTTTGGATTCTGCTATTGCAATAAATTTCAGGGCTATCCAATGATGGGATACAGAATGCCAAGTATCCATTTTTTCAGGATCATGAGATATTGATTCTTTAAGTCAATGCTTCTCTACATTCTGGCATACAGCAACCTGTATTTGGTCATTTTAATTTCCATTAGTATCTTGATTATAACTTGGACAAGCTAATGGATTCCAAAGTCAAAAAGTCAAACACACTGGTTCAAGGTGAACTGTACAGTGAATAATATATAACATGTAGCATTATCTGTCACCTCTAATTATCTGATGAGCTGGTAGAAAATTGACTACTATACAAAATAAGCCCCAAGTTATCTGTTTTTTTAAATCAGACAATTCTAAGGTAAGATTGTTCTACATATATTATTTTCTCTATTTTCTAACTGTTCACTTCTTTTTTAAAAAATTTTTATTTTATTCATATGTGCATACAATGTTTGGGTTATTTCTACCCCCTTCCCCCTGCACCCCCCCTTTCGCTCCCTCCCTTACCCCCCAAATACCCCTCGCTACCAGCAGAAACTATTTTGCCCTTATCTCTAATTTTGTTGAAGAGAGAGTATAAGCAATAATAGGAAGGACCAAGGGTTTTTGCTAGTTGAGATAAGGA